CTATACTGCTATAATGCTATACTGCTATACTGCTATACTGCTATACTGCTATACTGCTATACTGCTATACTGCTATACTGCTATACTGCTATAATGCTATACTGCTATACTGCTATACTGCTATACTGCTATACTGCTATACTGCTATACTGCTATAATGCTATACTGCTATACTGCTATACTGCTATACTGCTATACTGCTATACTGCTATACTGCTATACTGCTATAATGCTATACTGCTATACTGCTATACTGCTATACTGCTATACTGCTATACTGCTATACTGCTATACTGCTATAATGCTATACTGCTATACTGCTATAATGCTATACTGCTATACTGCTATACTGCTATACTGCTATACTGCTATACTGCTATACTGCTATACTGCTATACTGCTATAATGCTATACTGCTATACTGCTATACTGCTATACTGCTATACTGCTATACTGCTATAATGCTATACTGCTATACTGCTATAATGCTATATGCTATACTGCTATACTGCTATACTGCTATACTGCTATACTGCTATAATGCTATACTGCTATACTGCTATACTGCTATAACTGCTATACTGCTATACTGCTATACTGCTATACTGCTATACTGCTATAACTGCTATACTGCTATACTGCTATACTGCTATAACTGCTATACTGCTATACTGCTATACTGCTATACTGCTATAACTGCTATACTGCTATACTGCTATACTGCTATACTGCTATACTGCTATACTGCTATACTGCTATACTGCTATACTGCTATACTGCTATACTGCTATACTGCTATACTGCTATACTGCTATAATGCTATACTGCTATACTGCTATACTGCTATACTGCTATACTGCTATACTGCTATACTGCTATACTGCTATACTGCTATAACTGCTATAACTGCTATACTGCTATACTGCTATACTGCTATACTGCTATACTGCTTATACTGCTATACTGCTATACTGCTATACTGCTATACTGCTATACTGCTATACTGCTATACTGCTATACTGCTATAATGCTATACTGCTATACTGCTATACTGCTATACTGCTATACTGCTATACTGCTATACTGCTATAATGCTATACTGCTATACTGCTATACTGCTATACTGCTATACTGCTATACTGCTATACTGCTATACTGCTATACTGCTATACTGCTATACTGCTATACTGCTATACTGCTATACTGCTATACTGCTATAATGCTATACTGCTATAACTGCTATACTGCTATACTGCTATACTGCTATACTGCTATAACTGCTATAATGCTATAATGCTATACTGCTATACTGCTATACTGCTATACTGCTATAATGCTATACTGCTATAATGCTATACTGCTATACTGCTATACTGCTATACTGCTATACTGCTATAATGCTATACTGCTATACTGCTATACTGCTATAATGCTATACTGCTATACTGCTATACTGCTATACTGCTATAATGCTATACTGCTATACTGCTATACTGCTATACTGCTATACTGCTATACTGCTATACTGCTATACTGCTATACTGCTATAATGCTATACTGCTATACTGCTATACTGCTATACTGCTATAATGCTATAATGCTATACTGCTATACTGCTATAATGCTATACTGCTATACTGCTATACTGCTATACTGCTATACTGCTATACTGCTATACTGCTATACTGCTATACTGCTATACTGCTATAATGCTATACTGCTATACTGCTATACTGCTATACTGCTATAATGCTATAATGCTATACTGCTATACTGCTATAATGCTATACTGCTATACTGCTATACTGCTATACTGCTATACTGCTATACTGCTATACTGCTATACTGTTATACTGCTATACTGCTATACTGCTATACTGCTATACTGCTATAATGCTATAATGCTATAATGCTATACTGCTATACTGCTATACTGCTATACTGCTATACTGCTATACTGCTATACTGCTATACTGCTATACTGCTATAATGCTATACTGCTATAATGCTATACTGCTATACTGCTATACTGCTATACTGCTATACTGCTATACTGCTATACTGCTATACTGCTATAATGCTATACTGCTATACTGCTATACTGCTATACTGCTATAATGCTATAATGCTATACTGCTATACTGCTATAATGCTATATGCTATACTGCTATACTGCTATAACTGCTATAACTGCTATACTGCTATACTGCTATACTGCTATACTGCTATACTGCTATACTGCTATACTGCTATAATGCTATACTGCTATACTGCTATAATGCTATACTGCTATACTGCTATACTGCTATAATGCTATACTGCTATACTGCTATACTGCTATACTGCTATACTGCTATACTGCTATACTGCTATACTGCTATACTGCTATACTGCTATACTGCTATACTGCTACACTGCTATAATGCTATACTGCTATACTGCTATACTGCTATACTGCTATACTGCTATACTGCTATACTGCTATACTGCTATACTGCTATACTGCTATACTGCTATAATGCTATAATGCTATAATGCTATACTGCTATACTGCTATACTGCTATAATGCTATACTGCTATAATGCTATACTGCTATACTGCTATACTGCTATACTGCTATACTGCTATACTGCTATACTGCTATACTGCTATACTGCTATACTGCTATAATGCTATACTGCTATACTGCTATACTGCTATAATGCTATACTGCTATACTGCTATACTGCTATACTGCTATACTAGTGTACTGCTATACTGCTATACTGCTATACTGCTATACTGCTATACTGCTATACTGCTATACTGCTATAATGCTATACTGCTATAATGCTATACTGCTATACTGCTATAATGCTATACTGCTATACTGCTATACTGCTATACTGCTATACTGCTATACTGCTATACTGCTATACTGCTATACTGCTATACTGCTATACTGCTATACTGCTATAATGCTATACTGCTATACTGCTATACTGCTATACTGCTATAATGCTATACTGCTATACTGCTATACTGCTATACTGCTATACTGCTATACTGCTATACTGCTATACTGCTATACTGCTATACTGCTATACTGCTATACTGCTATAATGCTATACTGCTATAATGCTATACTGCTATACTGCTATACTGCTATACTGCTATACTGCTATACTGCTATACTGCTATACTGCTATACTGCTATAATGCTATACTGCTATACTGCTATACTGCTATACTGCTATACTGCTATACTGCTATACTGCTATATTGCTATACTGCTATACTGCTATACTGCTATACTGCTATACTGCTATACTGCTATACTGCTATACTGCTATAATGCTATAATGCTATAATGCTATACTGCTATACTGCTATAATGCTATAATGCTATAATGCTATACTGCTATACTGCTATACTGCTATACTGCTATACTGCTATACTGCTATACTGCTATACTGCTATACTGCTATACTGCTATACTGCTATACTGCTATACTGCTATACTGCTATACTGCTATACTGCTATACTGCTATAATGCTATACTGCTATACTGCTATACTGCTATAATGCTATACTGCTATACTGCTATACTGCTATACTGCTATACTGCTATACTGCTATACTGCTATACTGCTATACTGCTATACTGCTATACTGCTATACTGCTATACTGCTATAATGCTATACTGCTATACTGCTATACTGCTATAATGCTATACTGCTATAATGCTATACTGCTATAATGCTATACTGCTATACTGCTATACTGCTATACTGCTATACTGCTATACTGCTATACTGCTATACTGCTATACTGCTATACTGCTATAATGCTATACTGCTATACTGCTATACTGCTATACTGCTATACTGCTATACTGCTATACTGCTATACTGCTATACTGCTATACTGCTATACTGCTATACTGCTATACTGCTATACTGCTATAATGCTATACTGCTATAATGCTATACTGCTATACTGCTATAATGCTATACTGCTATACTGCTATACTGCTATACTGCTATACTGCTATACTGCTATACTGCTATACTGCTATACTGCTATACTGCTATACTGCTATACTGCTATACTGCTATACTGCTATAATGCTATACTGCTATACTGCTATACTGCTATATGCTATACTGCTATACTGCTATACTGCTATACTGCTATACTGCTATACTGCTATACTGCTATACTGCTATACTGCTATACTGCTATACTGCTATACTGCTATACTGCTATACTGCTATACTGCTATACTGCTATACTGCTATACTGCTATACTGCTATACTGCTATACTGCTATACTGCTATACTGCTATACTGCTATACTGCTATACTGCTATACTGCTATACTGCTATACTGCTATACTGCTATACTGCTATACTGCTATACTGCTATACTGCTATACTGCTATACTGCTATACTGCTATACTGCTATACTGCTATACTGCTATACTGCTATACTGCTATACTGCTATACTGCTATACTGCTATACTGCTATACTGCTATACTGCTATACTGCTATACTGCTATACTGCTATACTGCTATACTGCTATACTGCTATACTGCTATACTGCTATACTGCTATACTGCTATACTGCTATACTGCTATACTGCTATACTGCTATACTGCTATACTGCTATACTGCTATACTGCTATACTGCTATACTGCTATACTGCTATACTGCTATACTGCTATACTGCTATACTGCTATACTGCTATACTGCTATAATGCTATACTGCTATACTGCTATACTGCTATACTGCTATACTGCTATACTGCTATACTGCTATACTGCTATACTGCTATAATGCTATAATGCTATACTGCTATAATGCTATACTGCTATACTGCTATACTGCTATACTGCTATACTGCTATACTGCTATACTGCTATACTGCTATACTGCTATACTGCTATACTGCTATACTGCTATACTGCTATACTGCTATAATGCTATACTGCTATACTGCTATACTGCTATACTGCTCCCGTGGGGAGGGCGTGGGGAGGGGAGGGAGTGGGGAGGGAGTGGGGAGGGAGTGGGGAGGGAGTGGGGAGGGAGTGGGGAGGCGAGAGCATGGCGAAGGAGGGCAGATGATGGGCATGGGAGGGATGCGCGCGAGTGCTTACCGCAAGGGCAGTGCGCATGACACTCACAGCAGCGCACACAAGGGTTGGCGTGTGGCTAAGAGCACTCACAGCAGCGTGAGGTGGGCACTCACAGCAGCGTGAGGTGGGCACTCACAGCAGCGTGAGGTGGGCACTCACAGCAGCGTGAGGTGGGCACTCACAGCAACGTGAGGTGGGCACTCACAGCAACGTGAGGTGGGCACTCACAGCAGCGTGAGGTGGGCACTCACAGCAACGTGAGGTGGGCACTCACAGCAGCGTGAGGTGGGCACTCACAGCAACGTGAGGTGGGCACTTACAGCAACGTGAGGTGGGCACTCACAGCAGCGTGAGGTGGGCACTCACAGCAACGTGAGGTGGGCGAGGTTGCCAAGAGTGTCAGGCAGGCTGCCTGTGAGCTTCGGGTTCAGCGCCAGATTGCTGCCAGGGGGGGCGCGGGGGGCACAGGAAGAGTGGCAAGGGGAGGCCAAAGGAGGCGAATGTGAGGGTGAGTGGGAAGGCGAGCGGTTGGCGGTAGGGTGTGTGTGTGGCAACGCTGTGGCAGCTGGCTGTGTGATGCGTGCAGTGTGTGGGAGGCGGATGGGAGGGGTGATGTGTGCGTGACTCTCGAGGCCTCTTGAGGACTCTTGAGGCCTCTTGAGGCCTCTTGAGGCCTCCTGGGGACCCTTTGTGACTATCTGGGACCCATTGGGCAACGTGCAAGTGGCGTGAGCGAGTGGGAGCAGCGGGGCGATGAGGAGAAAGGGGTTCCAGGGGGTGGGAGGACGAGGAGGGCGCGGGCGGCGGGACTGACAGCAAGCTCAGCGCCGTGAGGTCGAAGACGGCGGCGGGCAGATCGCCCGTAAGACGCGCGTCCTGTAGATCGCTGTGGAGGGGAGGGGACGAGGCGGTTGGGGGGGAGAGGGGGAGGAGAGGGAAGGGGGAGAGGTGCGGAGACGGGGCGAAAAGGGAGAATGCAGGGGTGGAGATGACTGATGAGGTGAGGGAGTGATGGGGAACCGTTGAGAGTGTTTGGGAAAGGGCGACTGGAGGTAAGCCGCTGGGAGGGTGTGAGAAAGCTGCCTTTGCGGAGTGAACGGGTAGTGCTGGCGCGCACTCTTACAACCCCCTTGCCATCCCGTGCCCTATGCCTCACCCTCCCCTTCACCCCTAACTTCTGGTCGTCGCTGACGCCCTGTCGCGCATGCATACACGCGCTCAACGTAACACGGGCACAGACAGCCGGGGTTTGCCACTCATTGGAGCGCACGCCGCACCCACTCTGAATCCCCCGCGTCACACGAATTCCACCACCTATGATGGCAAACGGTGGAGCATCGCGTGTAGTAAGGCCCTCCACCTCACACAGCGCAGACCCCCATCAAGGCCACTCCCGCGCCCCCTCCCCCTTTCTCGTGTTGGTGCAACCCTACGGTTTGCACTCGGCTTGTTGTCCGTGTGCGTGAATGTGTGTGTGTATGGAATGGTATGAGGGCATGGGATAATATATATTTCATGCTTATAATTGTGTGTGAATGTTGAGTCATGATGTCAAGTGTGTGTGTCGAGTCAATAGCGAGTTATCGCTAGACGCGTGTTACGCGGTCGTTTGTGTCTCGCGCGCGGTTTCTATTTTGTCGTGCGCGGTTTCTATTTTGTCCTGTGTCGAACGTTCGGCGTGTCGCAGGTGTGTGCAGCAGACCCATCAAGAACTCAAGGATGAGTTTGTGATGAAGAGCCCGAGCCTTGGTGTCAAGCCTCAAGTGATTTCGAAGCTTGCCAAAAGGGTACACCTCAAGATATTGAAGATAGTTACATTACTTTGTGTAGTGTAACATTTCACTTGGTGTAGGCCCTAGTGAAGGGTAGTTTCGAGACCCTTCGTGGTTGGGGACAGTGTGGCACTGTTCCACATCACTGTACCTCGGCTCTTGGGGTTTGTAGGAGCTGGGAGTCATTCCCAACTCGTAACTCTTCCTATCTTGTGTTCTAAGACTATAGTGGCTGCCATAGTACCGTTCGTTCAAACCGACGCTGTGTCGTCAATTCTTTATCAAATCGTGCAATCTAAATTGATAATTGTAGACGACGTAAAGACGCTCCAGATCCAATTTGAATCAAGTCATTTGCAGCTGTGAGCAGAACATTATCAACGTTTGAAGCCGCTGTGCAGAAATCCGTCTGTGCTCTCTATCTTTCGTTTTAGGCACATTCACGCCTATTGTGACTATAACAAGTGGTATCAGAGCCCCTTGGAGCAGTTTCGACAATGTCTGGACCTGAGGAAAGGGGTGGCAGAGGTGCTGGTGGCAGTGGAGAAGCTCAAGCTCAAGGCCAACCCCGTGATTCAGCCATGGCGCCCATGCAACCAAGTCTTGGCCCACCTAGGGATGAGCCTAGGGTGTTTGGGCTTGACAAGTTCAATGGTGACAACTTTGCTGAATGGTCCTTCAAGATGGAGAACATCTTTGACCACTATGACCTGCTGGAGGTGATGGAAGGAACGGAGAAGCGCCCCGAAAACGACCCGGAGAAGAGCCCGTGGGTGCGGAAGAGCGCACAAGGCTATCTCTTACTTGGGCAAGCGTTGGGGAGCAGTCAGATCCGTCACATCAAGCCATTCCAGCGTGAACCAGAGAAAGGACCAAAGGCATGGGCTGCTCTCAAGGGTGTACATGCTCCTGCAACAGCGGCGGTAACGGTGGTGTTGGAACGGCAAATGGCGGCACTACGAATTGAAGAAAACGAAGCGGTTGAAGAAGGGGTGCAGAAATTCTTCGACTTGTTGACGCGGCTTGAGGGAGCTGATTTGAACTACAGTGAGCTCCAAAAGAAGACCAAGTTGCTGGCCTTACTCCCAGAGTCATGGTCCTCGCTCATCATCAACCTTAATCGCGACTTGCCCCGCCTCTCGCTTGAAGACGTGAAGCGAGCTATCCTTCAAGAGGATTTCCGCCGCCGTGAGTTGGCGAGTGCGGATGGCGCTGGGGCAGCGAGCATCGGCCGTGGATATGGTCGAGGAAGAGGCAGAGGACGAGGGGGAGGAAGGTTTGGTGGCAGCAACTTCGGCGGAGGCCGCAGGAGTGGCGGTTACGGCAGCGACGACAAGAGCTACGGACGCGGTCGCGGCCGATTCGACGGCGAGTGTCACTATTGCCACAAGAGCGGACACATGTGGCGCGACTGCTACAAACTCCCTGATGGTTGGACCCCTGCTCAAGGCCAAGAGGGTAGAGGAGCAGGAGGAGGGAGAGGACGAGGCCGTGGAGGCCGTGGCGATCGCGGTGGCGGAGCTGCAAACATGAAGAGCGGAGACAACGACAAGGACCCGAGCGACGATCGATACCCGGGTCTATTCTACTTCGTGTCGACGCAAGTACCGGCTGGTCCAGAGAAGGATGAAGGCTTTGAGGAGCTAGCAGCTGTGGGGAAGGTGACCCTACACCCCCTGGACTATTGGGTGATTGATAGTGGCGCTACCTATAGCATGACACCTCGCCCGGACTTGCTCACCGAACTCGAGCCGTCATCGGTGAAGCATGTCACATCGGCTTTGGGGCAGCGAGCAGAGGTGAAAGGCATGGGCAAGGCCATGTTCAAGGGTGCTGATGGGAAGATGGTGGGCCTCAAGAACGTGCTTTGGGTGCCCAGCCTTGCTGCAAACCTGATTTCCGTGCGGCGGTTGGCAAAGGCCGGCATGGACACGAACTCGAAGGGAGCCAAGACCTACACCGCAAGGCTTGGCGATCGAATTCTTTGGGACCTTCATGAGGACAGGGATGTCTACAACGAGATGTGGCAGATCCCAGTGGTCCCTATGCCTAAGGAGAGGCAAGTGGCAGCAAGCATCAGCACCAAGGATGGAGCGGTCGGTAGCGACGATGGCGCGAACGGTCGCGCTAAGGAGAATGAGCTCAAGAAGAGCAAACCTGGAGGGACCAGCAAGTTCAGTGAACCTAAGGAGAGTGGTGCAGCAACCAAGGAGCAGCAAAAGGGTGAGGAGAACCCAGAGGCAGCAGCGGAGGAGGACTACGGAGAGAGTATGTGGGGCGCTATTGCGAGCGCGGCATTCTCCAATCCAACTTCGGCTACGGGGGAGTGTGATTGGCTCACCTTGCATCGGCGAATGGGGCATGTGGCCCTGCCCATCTTGCAGCAGCTAGTGAAGAATGAGATGGTTGCTGGCATACGTGTGAAGGGGGAGCCCGATGAGGTGCTTGGCTGCCCGACGTGCATTCAAGCCAAGTTCACCCGGTTTCCGTTCCCTAGTTCGGAGGCAACGGCAAAGGCACCGCTTGATGAGGTGGTGATGGACGTGGTGGGCCCCCTGAAGCTTGGAGCTGCTGGAGCTGAGTATTTTCTCACCATTGTCGACGTCTACACCCGCATGACTTGGGTGTACGTGCTGGCCAAGAAGAGCGACGTGGCTGAAACGTTGAAGACGGATTGGTTCCCGATGGTGGAGCGGCAACAAGACCGTCTAGTCAACTCAATCCGCACCGATCGAGGGGGAGAGTTCCTGAGCAAGGAGTTTGGGTTGTGGCTGAAGAAGAATGGTATTCGGCACTCCCTCACCATGCCATACTCCCCTGCAATGAACGGCATCGCCGAGCGAGCGAACCGCACAATCACGGAGGCGGCACGCGGGTTGCTCATTGAAGCCGGGCTATCCGACTATTTCTGGCCTGATGCGGTGCGGAGCGCGTGTGTGGCCAAGAACAGAGCCTTGACTCATGTGGGAGCAGACAAATGGGTGCCCTATGTGGAGTGGCTAGGAAGGAAGCCAAAGGTGGATATGCTTCGGGTGTTCGGGTGCATGTGCATGGCGCTCGTGCCTAAGCATCTTCGGCACAACAAGCTTGGTGCCAAGGCGGTGTGGGCCGTGCACTTGGGCATGGCTCAAAACAGCAAGGGATGGCTTCTTTGGGACCCATTCACCAAGAAGTTCTTGGTGAGCAGGGACTGCAAGTTCATGGAGAACTTCATGTACAAGGATTGGAAGGCGGAGAATGAGGCGAAGATAGGCGTGCGGTTTGGGGAGGTGAAGAGTTCCGGTTTGGAGCATGTGGAGCTGCCTTTGGAGCTGAGCAGCGGCAGCACAACCACAAGGCAATCCTCCCTTGTGAATGGGGGAGAGGAGGCCAATGATGCAGAGGAAGAAGAGGAGGAGGTGCAGCAAGTGAGCGAGCGTGCACCGTCACTCCCTTCCCGTACTACGAGTGCTCCACGGATTCGAGCCACACCGCAGCAACGCCAAGGCCTTCAAGTCCCTGCAGCTGAGGAGGAAGGAAGGGGGAAGAGGAGAGTTCAACCCCTCCCTCAACGGCCGATCACTCCTTGTTCATGCTTGGCGAGGGGGAGCAGAGGAGTTTCATGGTGGTTTATGTGGATGACATCCTCATTTTCTCACCCTCTTCTGACCTTGTGAAGGAGGTGATGCTGAAGCTTCAAGACAAGTTCAAGTGCAAGGCCCTTGGTGACGTGAGCTTCTACCTTGGGCTCCACATCGAACGAGATGTGGAGAAGCGGTGCATGCGGGTGCATCAACGAAAGTACCTGGAGGCATTGGCTGCCAACTTTGGGCAGAGTGAAGGCCATGTGGCTACACCCTTTCCCTCTGGGTTCAAGTGTGTGAAGGGACCAGAGGAGGAGAGCGTTGGTGAAGAGGAGAGGTGCCGATTTCACTCGTTGGTGGGCAGCCTCATGTATGCGGCGGTAAACACCCGACCGGACGTCGCGTTTGCTACCGGGCAGCTGGCTAGGGTTGTGCAATGCCCTAATGAGGAGCAGGTAGCAGCTGGAATGAGGGTGGCCAAGTATCTTGGCCAAACACCGACCGTTGGGCTGCAATACTCGGCGGCGGCACAAAGGCGCCAAAAGGGCGCGGATGGTGTTGAACCCGGGCGTTTGTTCCTCACCGCCTACACGGATGCTTCATATGCATCAGAACCAGAGGACATGACAAGTGTGGGAGGCTTCATATGCTGTGTTGGTGGAGGCCCAACTGCTTGGGAGAGCAAGAAGCAGGTTGACCAAGCTTTGAGCTCGGTGGAGTCCGAGTACATGGCACTCTTCCGTGCCGTACGGGAGATTGTGTGGCAGCGGCGTTTGTTGGCTGAATTGGGGGAGGAGCAGCAAGGACCTACCCCACTGTACTGTGACAGCCAGGGTGCCATTGCTCTTGCTAAGAACCCTGTGTTGCATGGACTCACGAAGCACATGAGGGTGAAGTGGCATTGGACGAGGAGCATGGTAACCGCGGGTGAAGTTGAGTTGCGCTACGTGAAGACCACGGGGCAGCCGGCTGACATGATGACCAAGAGGCTGGTGGAGCAGCAGCATTGGAAGTGTTGCAAGCTGGCTGGGATGGCTCTGAACTGAGAGAGCAACATATCCTAAGGCCAACAATCCGAGGGGGAGTTTGTTGGTGCAACCCTACGGTTTGCACTCGGCTTGTTGTCCGTGTGCGTGAATGTGTGTGTGTATGGAATGGTATGAGGGCATGGGATAATATATATTTCATGCTTATAATTGTGTGTGAATGTTGAGTCATGATGTCGAGTGTGTGTGTCGAGTCAATAGCGAGTTATCGCTAGACGCGTGTTACGCGGTCGTTTGTGTCTCGCGCGCGGTTTCTATTTTGTCGTGCGCGGTTTCTATTTTGTCCTGTGTCGAACGTTCGGCGTGTCGCAGGTGTGTGCAGCAGACCCATCAAGAACTCAAGGATGAGTTTGTGATGAAGAGCCCGAGCCTTGGTGTCAAGCCTCAAGTGATTTCGAAGCTTGCCAAAAGGGTACACCTCAAGATATTGAAGATAGTTACATTACTTTGTGTAGTGTAACATTTCACTTGGTGTAGGCCCTAGTGAAGAGTAGTTTCGAGACCCTTCGTGGTTGGGGACAGTGTGGCACTGTTCCACATCACTGTACCTCGGCTCTTGGGGTTTGTAGGAGCTGGGAGTCATTCCCAACTCGTAACTCTTCCTATCTTGTGTTCTAAGACTATAGTGGCTGCCATAGTACCGTTCGTTCAAACCGACGCTGTGTCGTCAATTCTTTATCAAATCGTGCAATCTAAATTGATAATTGTAGACGACGTGAAGACGCTCCAGATCCAATTTGAATCAAGTCATTTGCAGCTGTGAGCAGAACGCTATCAACGTTTGAAGCCGCTGTGCAGAAATCCGTCTGTGCTCTCTATCTTTCGTTTTAGGCACATTCAAGCCTATTGTGACTATAACATCTCGTCCCCCCCCCCGCGGGACTCACAGCTCCGCCACCACGTTGTACGTCCCGCCCGCGTCGCACTGCACGCCCGCCCACGAGCTCTGCGCGTCCGGCCCGCACGGGTCGTCGCCCGCCCACGAATTGAACGGCGGCTCGTTAGGTCGCCCCACTGCCGTCGCCACCTGCCGCAGCGCCGCCACTTTGGGGCGCGGGGGGTTGGGCGGAGGGCGGGAGAGGAGCGTGGGCGGGGCAGGGGAGGGGATAGATACGATTAACGTTGTGGGGGGCAGCGCGGCCATTTTCTGTAGCAATACAGAAGGTGGGTTCGCACGCCGCTGAGAGACGTGGATCGCCGCTGCGTTCGGAACGCTGACAACTGGGAAATGGAGGTTGCGAGTGGACGAAGGGAATCGGGGAGGGGGGTTGAGGGGGGGCTGCGTGGTGGGATCGGCTCGAAGAGAATGAGGAGTAGGCCGGGGCGGCAGGGTTGCGAGCGCGCGTTGGAAAACAGATTGCGAGCGCTGTGGGAGGGAATGGTAGTGAATCCAAGAAATCTGAGGCGGAAGATTACTGGTCTAATATTCTGGCTGTTTTCCCGCTTGATAAACAGCGCGTGTGACGTGGACGAAGACGACAGGCGCTCGCTGCCGCAGACGACGCCAAAAAACGGGGGACGATGAAGGTGCGATCGATTGGAAACGCATACCAAGCCGAGAACGATCCGTATTTGACGACGAGCATTACCGTGAGCGGGATCGGTGGCCGCGAGCACGAATGCTGGCCGCAGGCCGATGAGCGCGAGCGATGCGAAGAGCAATGCAATCCGCACCGGGGAGAATTTTTTATCCGAGTCGCAAGCCATTTTGGTCCTCTACCTCTGTGATTAGTGAAGGTAGGGAGAAATCGAACCGCACTAAAGGTATACGCGACTTGCGAGCCTAAGTCTAGTCCTTGTTAGTATTCTTCGGTGCCAAGCTCGACTGGTGGAGCTGCTTGAAAACTGGCAAGGAGCGAGCAGCTAGCACGGAACTCCAAAGCCAGCCACCAGTAAAACGGCAAAACGCGTGAGCGAGTCACTCAGGAGGCATACGATGGACGTCTGTCAGCTGGTAGCGAACACCAAGGTGGAGCAAGGCCAAGAAACACGGCAGTGGCAACGATGTTGCTGTGGAGGCATCACAAATGTCTGAACTGAAGGCAGTTCAGAGATGCTTTCTCGAAAGCAAGGAAACGTCAGTCGCATCAAAGCAGCAATCACCGTCCAACCCAGATTCCATCCCGTTTTGTTTGAGTTGAAGGCAACGAAATTATTGGCGACAGCGAGTGGACCTCCGTGTCCTGCTCGGAGCGTCGGTGTGGTTCTAGCGAAGAGATCGCGAATTCGATGCCTGCACTGCTTGCAGGCGAAAAGGCAACTTCTGGGACCGAAACGGAGTTACCAGAAGTTCCCGTGTCGTGGAAGTGAAGCTAATGGCGGCCCAATAATAATTCTGGGAAGCGCAATTCGCGTTGAGCAGGGACTCGCTTCCCAAATCGCATTGCATGCGTAGATGTTGAAAGTTGTGTATGATTTCTTTTGATGTTCCATATATCGCACCTTACTCCATCGCGTACAACGCTACCCCTTACTCCAACACGTCAACTCCTTACCTTACATCGCACCTTACTCCATCGCATTCCCTGGATTTTTCCTTACATCGCACTTTGCTCTACCCATTTCTCTTAGCATCAGTTCTTACGCACTGCGCGTGTACCTCCTAACGCGTACGAGGTCTTCAGCATATCACCGCAGGTGGAGCAGCCTTCCACCCGGCTGACTCCATCACCCGCCATGGCGAGCAGCGAGGCAGCGCGGGATGCGGGGAGGCAAGGAGGCGGCGGCGCGGCGAGTTGCGAGGAGGTGGCGGCGGGGCTCGTGATCGCTCACCCCGACGACGAGTCCATGTGCGCCCCGCCGCCCCGCCGCCCCGCCTCCCCGCCTCCCCGCCGCCCCGCCTCCCCGCCGCCCCGCCTCCCCGCCGCCCCGCCGCCCCGACTCCCCGCCTCCCCGCCTCCCCGCCTCCCCGTCTTCCCGCCTTCCCGCCTTCCCGCCTCCCCGCCTCTCCGGCTCCTCGCCTCCTAGTCCTCGCACGCCTCTCTTGCGCCCCGCCTCGCCTCGTCTCCGCCCTCCTCGCCCGCCGCGATCATCCGCCGCTCCCGCCGCCATAGCCGCGCGCTGCTACCCTGCCTCTCTCCCCACCATCTGCCCTCCCTATTCTCACCTCCGCATTTCACTTCCGTCCTCCTCTCCCCTCTCCTCCGCTCCCCTCCTCTCTTTCGCTGTCTCCTGCGCTCCCCCCTTCCCTCCGCCACCCCCCCCCCCCCCGCGCGCAGGTTCTTCGTGCCGACGCTGCGGGCGCTGGTCGCGCAGCCCTCCGCGGTGCAGCAGCTCGTGTCGTCCACGGCGCTGCCACAAGAAGACTTGACGCAGCACGGCGCGCGCTGCGCCCTGCACATTCTCTGCCTCTCCTCAGGTGCCATCCTCTGCCTCTCCTCAGGTGCCATCCTCTGCCTCTCCTCAGGTGCTATCCTCTGCCTCTCCTCAGTCAGGTGCCCTCCTCTGCCTCTCCTCAGGTGCCCCACGGCCCGCCGTGCTTTTCCTCTCTGTCGTTGACTCCCCTCTCCTCTGTCTGTGCCGCGCTACCCCCTATTCTCTCGCGCATCCCCTTCGCCTTGTGCGCTACTGGGCAGTGCAGACGTGAATCAGGCGCCCAAATGCGTGCCTTCTACCCGCGTCCTCTCGTTGCAACGGAATGTCGCATTCTTTCCGCTTCTCAGCAGTCATCCCCCTTCTCTCTCCCTCCTCGCCTCGGCAGGCAATGCAGAGGGGCTGGGCAGCACGCGCAGGGCGGAGCTGAAGGCAGCAGCGGCGAGCCTCGGGGTAGAGACGGGCTGGGAGAGATGTTCGGAGTAGAGAGAGGCTCGGGGTAGAGAGAGGCTCGGGGTAGAGAGAGGCTCGGGGTAGAGAGAGGCTCGGGGTAGAGAGAGGCTCGGGGTAGAGAGAGGCTCGGGGTAGAGAGAGGCTCAGCCACTCCCCACCCAAACCCATTCCATCCCACCCCATGCCTTCCCATTCCATCCGCTCCATCCCCACCCCCATCTTCCTACCCCTTTGCTTGTCTGTCCTCACTCACGCTCCTGTGCCTTCCCCCCTTACCGTGACTCCCCTCACCTCAGCCTTCTCACCCCCCCCTTCCCCCATCCCCGCTCGTCCCCTTTCTTCCTTCTCTCTCGGCGCATCAGATAGCCCAGCAGTGCGTGGAGGTGGTGGACCATCCGCAGCTGCAGGTGCGGTGAGGGGCGAGTGCGGGGCGAGTGAGGGGCAGTGAGGGGCGAGTGCGGGGCGAGTGAGGGGCGAGTGAGGGGCAGTGAGGGGCGAGTGCGGCCGATGCATGGGGGCAGAGATGCATGGGGGCTGAGATGCATGGGGGCTGGACTGACGTGGGCGAGGAGAGGAAAGGAGGGGGCCAGAAAGGCGACCTTGGCACATGGGAGTGCAGAGGGGATAACCTTCCATGCTCGTTGCCGGAATAGCCATCCGCCAATCATTCTCATGCAACGTCCCTCCCCCCATCTCTCTTCAACGTTGATCTGCAGGATGGCATGGACCAATCCTGGCCGTCGGATGTCATTGCCGCCTTGGTCACTGACTTTGTCAAAAGGCACCGAATACAAACGGTGGGAGCGATGATGGGGTGTGAAGGGATGGGGTACGGGGTGTGAGGGATGGGGTTCCAGGGATGAGGTGCAGAGCGTGTGTGGGAGGCCAGTACTGGGCATTCGGTCAAGCTCGCCGGTGTGGGAGTCTGGGATGTGCGCTACTGCTTGGGGCAGATGCTGGACCGCAAGGTTCAATGCGATCCACTGCGGTGGTACACGAATTGCACGCGAGGTATGCCTGTGCGAATGCATCCTTATTCTCGAACTCACGGGCTGTTTACATGGACCACGTGGTGTCCCGACTCCCCTCAAGGTTCTTGGCCCGTTGTTCATGGTGGCCGGATTCGGTGCCTTTGTAACGTGGTGCTTTGAGGCACGCATGGCACTTGATGCTTTACTGCTCCACCCACCAATTCTGTAGTTAAGGTGTGCATGGGAGGAGGGGTGAGAATAGGAAGGGCCACACTCGTTCGTGGGGCCACACTCATTACTGCTGTGGTGCACTTCAGCCTTTGAGAGGCCATGTTTTGACTTGTTGGATGGAAGCCCTGTCTATGCATCCTTTCTGGGCGCTGCCGTTTTTACTACACCGCCTTCACTTGTGTGCTGCGCTCCCCTCTCTTCCCTGCTCCTACACCTCGCTCTTCCCATCCTCCCTTCTGCGCCTCACATGCTCGTTGGCCGCCTGGAGAGCCTTCTGGCGTTCCCATTCCTTTCTCTTTCTTTTCGCTTTGTTCCACCCCAACCTCCTATGCCCCGTCTTGTCTGCCTCGCAGCTGCTCACATTCGACTACTGGGGTGTGTCGGGCCACCCAAACCACCGTGCCATCAGCCGTGCTCTCAGGTATGAGGCGATGTCAGGGAAACATGGTGTGTGCGTGCTGCCTTGCTCTGCCGCCCCATCCCTTCATGAGAGCACACTGTGGCATTCAGGCTGCACTGCACCTGCTCACTCCCGTGCGTCTCTCTACCCCCCAGCGTTTGAGTGGCCCACCCTCCTGTTGAAGTGTGTGGCTGGAGCAGCGATTGAGCGCTCCTGGGGACACTTGTGACAGAAGAGGGGGGAGGGGGAAAGGCATGGGGTGGAGGGAATGCGGCGTGGGGTGCGGGCAGTGGGGTGTTTTGGTGGGGGAGTGTGAGGAAGAAGTTGGTTGGAGGTATTCATGCATATCTCATCACTTGGAGGTATTCATGCATATCTCATCACTTGGAGGTATTCATGCATATCTCATCACTTGGGGACCGGCTCTCTCTACAGCAACAGGGTGCCCTGCCACCTGTCCCCCTGCCACCTGTCCCCCTGCCACCTGTCCCCCTGCCACCTGTCCCCCTGCCACCTGTCCCCCTGCCACCTGTCCCCCTGCCAGCTCTCCCCTTGCCACCTGTCCCCCTGCCACCTCTCCCCCTGCCACCTGTCCCCCTGCCACCTGTCCTGTCCCCCTGCCACCTGTCCTGTCCCCCTGCCACCTGTCCCCCTGCCTCCTGTCCCCCTGCCAGCTGTCCGCATTTGCAAAGCTCCTCGCCCCCACTGCCCCTCTCGCCCCAACGCCTCTTCCCCTCTCACCTGCTGCTCATCCCCTCCCCCCCACTGCCCCTTTCGCCCCAACGTCCCTTCTCACCGGCCTCACCAGCACCATGGTTGACAACGGGTCACTGGCAGTCCCCCTGTGGCACCTGGTGAGTGGGGCAGCGGGTGAGTGTGGCAGCTGGAGAGTGGGGCAGCTGGTGAGTGGCAGCGGGTGAGTGGGGCAGCGGGTGAGTGGGGCAGTCAGTGTGGTATCTCTGCCACGCGCCACCACTTTCCTCTTCCCTCTGGCACCATGCGCCCTCCGTTCCCAACCTCTCTCTATCCTTAGCAACCCTTCTTCTCATTCCTTTCTTCTCGCTCCCCTTCCTCTCACTCCCCTTCCTTTCACTCCCCTTCCTCTCATTCCCGTTCCTCTCACTCCCCTACATTTCTCTCCCCTTCCTTTCACTCTCCTTCCTCTCATTCCCGTTCCTCTCACTACCCTACATTTCTCTCCCCTTCGTTTCACTCCCCTTCCTCTTACTCCCCTTCGTCGTACCCCCCTTCCTCTTGCCCAGCTTCCTTTCATTCAACTTCCTTTTATTTCCCTTAATTCCATCCTTTTTTTTTTCATTCCGCTTGCATCCTTTCATTCCCTTCACTCTCCCTCATATCCTGCTGCAGTCTTCTCCTCCCCATTCATTCCACCCATCCCATTCATTCTACTCACCCATTCATTCCACCCATCCCATTCATTCCACCCATCCCATTCATTCCACCCATCCCATTCATTCCACCCATCCCATTCATTCCACCCATCCCATTCATTCCACCCATCCCATTCATTCCACCCATCCCATTCATTCCACCCATCCCATTCATTCCACCCATCCCATTCATTCCACCCATCCCATTCATTCCACCCATCCCATTCATTCCACCCATCCCATTCATTCCACCCATCCCATTCATTCCACCCATCCCATTCATTCCACCCATCCCATTCATTCCACCCATCCCATTCATTCCACCCATCCCATTCATTCCACCCATCCCATTCATTCCACCCATCCCATTCATTCCACCCATCCCATTCATTCCACCCATCCCATTCATTCCACCCATCCCATTCATTCCACCCATCCCATTCATTCCACCCATCCCATTCATTCCACCCATCCCATTCATTCCACCCATCCCATTCATTCCACCCATCCCATTCATTCCACCCATCCCATTCATTCCACCCATCCCATTCATTCCACCCATCCCATTCATTCCACCCATCCCATTCATGCCATGTCACCTCCCCCCGAGCAGAACAGTGCATGGCTGCATGTGAAGTTCCTGGGGCTGCTGGGGGTGGTGATCATATGGATGCATTTCCTCATCACGCACCACCTCAGCACGGCGGGCAGCAGGATATATTTCATCTGCCCGAGCATGCTGCCAAGCGTGCAGGCAATGCGCGCCCATCGCTCCCAGTTCGTTTGGTGTGTGATGGCGCCTTCTGACAGCATGGCACCTTCTGACAGCATGGCACCTTCTGACAGAATGGCACCTTCTGACAGCATGGCACCTTCTGACAGCATGGCACCTTCTGACAGCATGGCACCTTCTGACAGCATGGCACCTTCTGACAGCATGGCACCTTCTGACAGCATGGCACCTTCTGACAGCATGGCACCTTCTGACAGCATGGCACCTTCTGACAGCATGGCAGCTTCTGACAGCATGGCACCTTCTGACAGCATAGCACCTTCCGACAGCATGGCACCTTCTGACAGCATAGCACCTTCTGACAGCATAGCACCTTCTGACAGCATAGCACCTTCTGACAGCATAGCACCTTCCGACAGCATGGCACCTTCTGACAGCATAGCACCTTCTGACAGCATTGCACCTTCTTTCCCCCCTGCCGCCTTCATCCCACTGCACCACCCGGTGTGGCCCTTTGCCCTTCAGGTTCTCACCACCGTCCCCAACCCCCTTATCGCCTGCATCCCCCCTCCATCGCCCCATGGCCCTGCTGGCAGGTTCCGGTGGCTCTTTGTGCTCTTCTCCGTCTACACCTTCCTCAACACCCTCTCTCGTGTTGCTCCTGCACCTCGCTCTCACGAGATCAAGAAATCTCAGTAGGCCAAGCCAATCGCCAGGATGTCGCTGTGCTTTATGTAGGGAGCAGCAATGTGAAGGGAGCAGTTTTTTTCATACAGATTGGTGGTCAGCGGTTTATCATTAATGGAACATTTAGTGAGCAAGTGTGAAGGAGTCAACAAGATTCCAGTGCACAGAGTTACAAGTGTAATCAACGCCTACAAGAATCAATGGACACATCATGCCATCTAAAAGGTTGTGATATGCGCAAGCAGCACATGCGGCTACTTTTTCTCGAATCAGCACATGTGGAGAGCAGAGGTTGTTGGGCTGAGAAAAGCCCTTATGAATTCCAAGACTAAAGTCTCGGAGTAGTGATGCATTAGCGGAAGCGTAATAGTGAACTAATTGAACCACCTTGCACTTGTATGTGAGAACAAGATTAGTTGATAATAGCAAAGAGATACAAAGCTTTATATGATCACAAAGGAATATGACAGATTTCACTAACTATAACTGCTGCTGCGGTTCGATACAGCGACGACTCGGGTAACTGCTCAATAGTGAGTCAGTTATGTGTCCTTGCTGTCGCGCTGCTTTTCGGCAAGTCAAGGTCGCTGACCTTTGACCTTCACTCAACCTCTTGTTGTTGTCTTTCTGTCAACCGCTTTGGTTGACTCTCTGTTGCTTCGCTTCAGTTCGCTTCGATTTCTTGTAGTGCTCAACACATCAGAAGCGCGAACTAAATGTTTCCAACACTCCCCTTCGCTTCTGGAGTGTCGTTGCCTTCGTTGCTGATGACGTGGCTTTGTCCAGTCAGCAGCATGCAGTACTCGAACTTTTGCTTTCCGAGTTTCTTGGTCAAGTAATCTGCTGCCATCTCGGACGTGGGGCAGCAGGAAAGCTCGAGTCTCCCTTTCTCGATCTCGCCCTTCACGAAGAAATAGCGCAATGCAATGTGCTTCGTTCGGTTCGCGAACCCGCTCTAGTTCGCTATGCGAATTGCAGATTGGTTGTCGCAGAAGAGGGAGAAGCTGGGTAACTGGGCCAGCTTTGCTTCTTCCAATAGTTCGCAAAGGTACAGTCCTTCCTTGGTGGCTGAGCAAAGTGCTATGTATTCAGCTTCAGCAGAGGAGAGAGCAATTAGTTCTTGCTTTCTCGACTGCCACGAGATAGGACCGATGGGCTCGAGTCGATAGATGTAGCCGGTGTGCGATCGCCTGTTATCAGAATCGCCTGCGTGGTCAGCATCTACGTAGCCGATAAGCTTTGGAGTAGTGGTTCCGCTCTTGTGGTAGGTTAGGCCGATCATTGGCGTGCTGACGAGGTAGTGTAAGGCGCGGTCGAGTTCGGCCATATGCTCTGCTTCGGGCCGCTTGAGGTGGGTAGCAAGTTGACTCGCTGGGTATGACAGATGCGGTCGGCATGGGGATAGAAGCTGGCGTCAGTCCGAAGCGTTTTGCGATGGTGTCGGCGTATTTTGCGGCGCTGAGGTAGATCGCGTTCTCTCCGTCTAGAATGTTGAGTCCAAGGTACTGGGTCACGGTAGAGGAAACCATGAGTGAGAGATCCTGTTGCAGATACCCTTCAAACCAGTTGGTGATGCCGTTGGTGGAGCCTATGTAGAGTAGGTCGTCTACATACACGATGAGCAGAATGTACTTAGCTTCCTTTGTGAGCCTGTACATGCCCTGGTCGTGTGGTAGTTGCTGAAAGCCAATGCGGATTAGTTGGGCGTGTAGGTACTGCTGCCACAGCCGTGAAGCTTGCTTGATGCCATACAAGGATTTCACCAGCTGACAGACTTGATTAGGGTCTGTGTCGAATCCGTGTGGTTGCTCGACGAAGATTTCGGCGTCTACGGGAGCGTAGAGAAATGCGTTAGCCATGTCGATTTGGCGAAGCTTCTTCCGCTTCATGGCGGCTATCGCAAGGAGGATTCACAAAGAGGTATGTCGGCTGACCGACGCAAAGGTTTTGGTGAAGTCTCATCCGTGTTCTTGGTCGAAGCCACGAACGACCCATCGTGCCTTGAATTTATCAATTGTTCCATCGGCTTTCGTCTTCACGCGGAAGACCCACTTTCCCGTGAGAATGGTTTTGTTGCGTGCCAGTCCGATGGGTACTATCTTCCAAGTGTTTCTGTCTTCCAGCGCCTTTAATTCCCTGTCCATGGCTTCACGCCATTTTTCCCTGTGTTCCCCCCCAGAGCCTGCTGAACCGTTGCAGGCTCTCGCAGCACTGATGCACCATGGACTGTGGTGATGAGCACAAGAATCTGCAGCCCACTTTGTGTGTAGCGAGGGAGGATTGGTTCCTCGGGATAAACTGCTTCGTCTCCCGCTTCTGTATCAGGTAAGAATTTGGGGCCTATGCGTTCTGAAACGTTTGTGTTGACCGGCTGTGGTGTAACATAACCGTTGTCGGCGAAGTCGTAGTAGACTCCGGCGTTGATGCTTTCGCGAGGATTTTCGTCGTCCATCAGAACAGGTACCGAGCAGTAGGGAAGAGTGTCAAACATATTTGCTTAGTTGTATCTAGGCTTAGTTTATGTGTTTACAGTTGTCCAGGCTATAGTGGGTTTAGCCTTAGGGGGTACACAATTTCTCTCGACATTGTACTTGTACCCCTCCCCCTTTCCTAGTCATTCATTCTCGTCATTCTCGCTAGTATTCTAACATGGTATTAGAGTGGGCTACTCTTGGGCCCACCACCTACTATTTCGTTCCTAGCCCCGCGCCCCGCCCGTACCGCTGTGGTGAAGTCGTAGTAGACTTCGGCGTTGATGCTTTCGCGAGGATTTTCGTCGTCCATCAGAACAGGTACCGAGCAGTAGGGAAGAGGTCCGGCTGTGAGAATGATAGAGAATGAGAAGGGTACAAGTAGGAAACACATAAGTGTTGTACCCTCTAAGGACTATCCCACTACAGCCTAGACCGACTATAGTAAATATATGTTTCACACACCCCCATAGGCAAAGTGGGGGAGAACAAGGGGTCACAAGACCAGTCAAGAAAGACAAAGCAAACTCAGGGTGGATCACAAAGTCACCACACAGTCTGAGCACAAGCAAAGGGCCAGAAGGCCAGTTCACATGCAGAGTTATATAAAGGAAAGCAAACAATACAGTGAACACAACCTAGCAAGTGTAAGCATGCAGGTATAAGTATATAGAGTACAGTACAAGCAGAGTCAAGAAGTCAACAAGTGAGGCACAGTAGGTACAAGGCCTAACACAGTACAGAAACGCTGATGATCACAAGGCTGAAGTGCCTTGGTGAAGACATCAGCAGTGTTGGCCTGAGAGGCCACGTAAGCAAGACGAAGCTGGCCACGCTGCTGCAACTCTCGAGCAAGGAAGTAGCGCAGAGCAATGTGCTTCGTTCTGTGCTCCAGTCTGTGCTCCTGACACAAGGCCAGCATGGCCTTGTTGTCGACGTACAGAACTGGAGGAGAACGAGGCGCCTCTCCCAAGTCGGTCAGCAGGTAGGTGAGCCAGCGAAGCTCCTGTGCAGCCATGGCCCCAGCGTAGATCTCAGCCTCACAACTGGAGCTGAGAACAGAAGAAGAGCGGGTAGACCGCCAGGAGACAGAACCGGAGCCAAGGCTGAAGGTGTAACCCTGTGACGACCGCTGCGTAGCCAAGTCGTCAACCCAGGAGGCGTCAGCGTGACCAGTGAGGACAACTCGAGCCCGTCCTCCAAGCACGAGCCCCATGCCCGATGTACTGCACAAGTATCGCAACACCCTCTTCGCAGCATCCCAGTGCACCTTTCGGTGCCTGCCGGGAGCCACGTAGCGAGCCAGAAGGCTAAGAGGGTATGCGAGGTCAGGTCGTGTGCAGGTCATCAGGTACACGAGGCAGCCCACAAGCTCTGGATACGGGCCACTCGGCTCTACGGACTCGTCCGAAGGTGGAGCTGAGAGCGAGTGACCGGTAGGCAGAGGAGTGGACTGTGGCGAGGAGTACGTGAAGCCGAAGCGCTGAAGGACCTGCTGCACCATGTGTGACTGAGTCAAGGTAATGGTGCGCTGTGCTCTGTCCCGGGTGATCCGCAAGCCAAGATAGCTTGTGAGCTCACCCAGGTCTGTGCACGTGTGTCTCTTCTGCAGCTCGGACTTCACGTGGGCGAGTGCCTCCGTGTCAGCAGTAGCAAAGACGAGGTCGTCTACGTACACGAGAACGTAGAACGACGGCAGAGTGGCGTCGGTGCGTAGAAACAGCGACGGGTCAGCAGTGGAAGGAGCAAAACCAAGAGCAGCAAGAGTCGTCCGCAGTGTGTCGTGCCACTCACGGGGTGCCTGGCGGAGACCGTAGACTGGCCGCCGGAGGCTCCACTGGGTACCAGGAGGAAACGACCCAGTGAAGCCAGGTGGGCGGCGCATCCAGATCTCCTCGTGCAGGCTGCCCTGTAGGAAGGCTGTGCTGAAGTCAAGCGAGTGGAGCTCGTAGTCACGCTGAGCAGCAACGTGCAGCAGTACCCGAAGAGTGGTCATCTTCGGGGTAGGGGAGAAGGTCTGAAAGAAGTCAACTCCCTGTCGCTGACTGAAGCCACATGCAACGTAATGCGCCTTGAAGGCAGGCGGAGAACCCGGTGGCCGCTTCACCCTGAAGATCCACATGCCACTGACGATGTTCGCCCCAGGTGGGGGAACCTCGTCTACGTAGGTGCCTGTGGACTTCCAGGAAGCCATCTCTGTGTCCATGGCTGCCTGCCACTGGGAGGAGTAGGGACCCTCTATCGCCTCTGCGTAAGAGCGCGGGGTCGGGATGTCTAGTGCATCCGGGTCTCCCTCAGGGGCAAGCAGCATGGACACAAGATGAGGTGAAGCAGCAGCAAAGCACTCAAGGTCCACCTGCCTGTCCTCAAGGACGTCCGTGCCAAGAGCACACTCACCCCCGACGGACGGAGGACAGACAGACACAGACGCAGACTCAGCAACAAGACTAGCGGCGTAGTCTAGGCGACAGGCTGCAGCAAAGTCAACAAGCTCAGCAACAAGAGCAGACGCAGCAGAGAACTCAAACAGGGGGTCAGTGA